CAATGGGAATTAGCTGCTGGAAATTCCAGATAAGCAGCTCATTAATAGTTCAAGGTGCAGCCCAGGAACTACTGGTACTCTGTGAGGCTAATATGGGTAGTTTATACTGAATGCCACAATAAATAGATCTTTAAAACATGCAGAAATCTTGTGAGGTAATTAAACCATAAGAATGATAAGATGCTTGGTGATTTAGCTTGAGATCCATTAAAATTTTGGTATTCTTGCACCAAAATATTTCATGTTTGCTAAATGTGTAAGAAGGAGCGAACATAGAAATGTAATTTAAAATGATGAACAACTATGATAATTCTATTAACTAATAGGCTATTAAGTTGCCATTTTTAGAAGTGTATGAGAAATTAGTGGACATAAAATGTCATGGATGAACTGGGAATAAACTTTGAAAGTGTAACTGAACACTTCAGTTTTTCAGTTCAGTCGTGGCCTTTGTTCACCAAAATTTGTTCACCAAGCCTGAGAAGAACTAACTTATCATTTCATCTGAACTATTGTTGCATGCTATAGTTTCATCACTTCTGCATAATGATCTGACAAAAATTGTTAGTTCAAAATTTGTTTTCACTGACATCCGATGTATAATGCTCTACAGACTCCTCAGCAATATTTTCCTTTCTATTGTTAAATGAACTGAATCTCCCTGGGCTTAGAGCTAGGAAAAGAAGATGAAGTAGTATGAACATAGGCAAAATGATGAGTCAACCACATTGTGTAGGCTTCCAAAAGTTTATCTGGAAGTAAGTATATAATGTTCACTGATTGCAGCCCAGATTAAAGTTGAACTGCTTTGCCAGCTATCACCACTGAGTAATGGGAAGGGATTCAGTTCTTCTAAAGTAGAATTTTTAACATGTTAATCTCAATTTAGCTCAAACATTTCTCATTAGAATATACTAGAAATATATAATGGTTCTCTCAGTCCAGCCACACACTGGGCAGCCAGGCTCATTATATCTGATGCTGTAAATGAGTATGTACTGACTAGTATGTCCACACAATCTAGTTACTCTGGAAAGAGCACTCCCTCTAGGTCAGGGGAGCCAAACTTGCTGTGTCATGTTGCCATCATATGATGCATCGCGACATTTTTTCCCCTTTCCGGAGCTGGGGCAGGTGTGGCCTGCACGTGACACATCCAGTTTGACACCCCTACGTGAAGTACAACTTTCTGCCAATAATACTGTATAACCATTTGGCTCCAAATGAAGAGTAACATGAAGTGATTTCTGCACACAGAAATATGTATATATAGAGCTTGTGTGAAACTACTTTGAAGTAACAATATTTGGTAGCTGCTAATGCAGCAAATGAAAGCTTAAAGAACTTTCTAGACAATGCAGTATTTTAGATATGCATTATGAATTGACTGATTAAAAACTGGTTTTAATCTCATGAGTGGAAAATATCCTGTTATTAATTGCTCCAGCTGTATATCAAGAATTGGAGGGCACTGGGATATATCCAGTTTACTCAAATAATCCCTTTCCTTAAAAGATCATCTTAAAAATCAGCCATGACTGATCACCTCATCTTTGTGTGCTGTGCTTGTGCGGGATTATAACTTTTCAGTTGAATTAATATTTTTCTATGATATAGAAAATATTTAATCAAAAGATATAATCAATATTTATTCTAAATTCTAAGAGCAAGATTCAAGTTAATGAGCTGGTAGATAAGTTTTTTTTCCTCTTCTATTGCATCCTACCTTTGATGTTTTAAAACTGTGAAGGAAAAAACGTTGCTTATTAATTCAATGTCACAGGAACATATTGCAATCCAAGTGTGAATATACGGTAAATAAAAGATTTAATGCAACGAACATAAATTTTATATGAATGCAAATGTTATCATGCTGGACAACTGAAATCCTTGCTAGATAAGAGTTGGTTCTGTCATTATAAAATGAAAAAAGGAAAGTATCTTTATGAAATTTCTCTGTGATCCTTGATAAAACTTATTTGTGAAGCAATCAATGTGAGATATTGGTAGTAAAATAAATGCATTTATCAAGTTAAACACTTAATCAGGTAGCAATCAACAGGCCTCTATCCTGTCACATTTTTAAGTTATCCGTAGAGATGCCGCATATCTCAGAAAGGTTACAGAGCGCCACCTAGGGCTACACAGAAGACCTTGATTTTTCCCCCCCTCACGAGTTAGATTTAAATTTTAAGGATTAATATGAATACAATAGATAGTTCTAGTGTAATGCCTTGTCTTCAGAAAAAGGTTTGATGAGATAATGAAAGGTTTGAAGAAACAAATTATTTTGCTAAGTGTCAGATTCTGGCCAGATACCAGGCAGTGGATTCAGATCTATAAGCATTGGGAGATTGGGAGCCTCTCAGCACAGGCTTGGGTGTTAAGCAGTAATTTGCACCCAGAGCATTGGAGTATCTCCATTGCTTGAAATCTCCTTACTCACTGGTGTGTTTATTGTCTCTGGATCCTCAAAGGACCAGTTGTCTGGCACCTAGCATTGGCTGACCTTTGGCAAAACAAAAATATATGTATAATAGGTCTCTTGATTGTTTCTATGTTATAGCATAGTTACCTTAACTAATTTTATTTGATCAAAAGAAAAGCAACCTCTTAAAATTAAGATGTCACAAAGGGGAGTTTTACAAGAAATCACAGGAAAAACAATTCAAATGACCCTGGAAAGCTTGTCAGTTCCCAGAAAGCTTTTAAGTCAGGTCACAACACAATTTAGCAATTTTAAATTTGTCGGTATTTTCTAAAAGGTTTCCCCCCCCCAAAAGTTATGTTGGCTAGTAAGTGTTGACACTGAAGCACATTAATTAACCCTACTTAGGTTTAAACCTCATTTCAGCAGACATTTTCTACTGTTCCATTGCTAGAAAATGAAGAGATAAAATAAGACATTTGAGGAGGCCAAAACACCTGTAAAGGTCTTTGTTGCCGTGAAGGCAGATCTAGTAGAGGCTTGACAGGTTAATAGGTGAGCAAGAAGACGACAAGGGAGATTGTCCACTGCTGATTGCAAAATACACAGGGTACACCCTCTAATCATGGACTGCCTTGAGTTTCTTCTAAAACAAGCAAAGATAAACAGGCAAAATGGGATGCTTATTAGCTCAGGTCTATGTTTTCTATAGTTCATATGTTTCTTGAATTACCTTGTTGACCTGGACTTGAACTGTCCAATATATATCAGGATTTCCATTGCTCTCTATCTACCTGGAGCTCCTTAAACTCCTTTGATTTGTTATCTAAACCAGGGGTGAAATCTACTTACCATCCTTACTGCTTCGGAAGTGCACAAGCCGTGCATGTGCAGCACATGCGCAAAAGCTGCGCAGGCGCAGAGGGTAAAAAACACATGGTTTTAACCAGGAAGTAACAACACCCAGGCGGGTGGGCAGAGTCTTGCGCCACCATTGCTACCGGTTCTCCAAACCACCTGCCACAATCGCTACTGGATCGCCCGATCCAGTCCGAAAAAGGAGCATTTCACCCCTGATCTAAACTCAAATGAGAATTGTGCTGCTTTCATGTTTAACAAGAGTAAAAACTACTATACAACCAACTACTGTTTGTTTGCTCAACAATAAATCCCATCAAACTCAATGAAACATGCTCCCATGTGCCTGTCTTTCAGCCTAAGGTTCTGAAGCCAAGTCTTCATGTACCTGAGACTCAGAATAATTTTCATTAAATGCAGTGGAACAAACTCCTGAACAAAAATACAGTACATAGTGCTGCTAGCCTACAGCTAAATATTCAGTTCCTTATTGCTTTCTCAAAATTTTAATGTTCTATTACTGGAAAGCAACAAATAGCACAGAAACTTCTGATTCCTGCAGCTCCTTATATTGTCATTTGGTAAATCTCCTGAACATTGTGGGTTGTATCTTATAAGGCTATACACAGTGGTGGGATTCAGCCAGTTCGCACCTATTTGGGAGAACTGGTTGTTAACTTTCTAAACAGTCTGGAGAACCGGTTGTTGGAAGAAATCTTATTTTGTTTTATTCTACTTTACAGGGCTAATCCTGTAAGGAAGGCAGGAAGGAAACATTCTGGTGTCGTTTCTAGCCTAATCTTTATTGCCCTGCTTACAGAAATTGCCTCTCTGGTTAACCCTTATTACATTGTAACAGCTAAGGTGAAGCTCCCATCGACATGAGTGATGTTGAGTTGGCCACGCCCACACAGTCACATGACCATTGAGCCACACCTACCCAGCTGTTCATTAGGGCAGAGAACCGGTTGTTAAATTATTTGAATCCCACCTCTGGCTATACATGATCTTCTGCTTCTGCATCCTTCCCAGTGCATGGCACGAGGATCAAATTTTGTTCTCTCTAGTTTCCCAGTTAGCAGCCTATTCCTGTTTCCCAATTATTTAAGATCATGCTCTTCCATGCTTTCATTGGCTTCTGGCTACACTTCCAGGTAGCACCACAGGGTCAGACAGCTCTGAAGGCTGCAAGTTTCATATACTGAATATTGATATACCATGTACAAGCGGATTTTCTTTTATCTGGCACTCCTATAATCCTATAATTCTAATCCATAATTTATCTCATTTTTACAAATAGGAGATCAAAGGTCTCAAAGACCAGCTTTCCTGATTCACCTGATGAATCAATGGTTAGGTTTTTATATGACTCCAAAAATCTATACCTTAATGAAACCAAACACCAATGTGTATGAATTAGGAGGCTGTCTATCATTGAAGGACTTCTTCAAGGTGATCTGAATAGTGCAGAAATTTGCTGCACACTTTACATATGTATTTTCTGATAGATAAATAGTTATCTCAGCATCTTTGTTTATCAGCATATGAAACGTTTTCAAAGGTTATTAAATAACAAAGTCTTGGTGTTACCTTGAGAAGGTAGGAGGTAAAGAAAACCAAGGAGTTGTAGAAAGTGTAGACAAGGTAAAAAAATGCAAGTGAGAATAAATTCTTTTATTTTTTCTGATGCTTTATGTTCTCTCTTTTATTAAAGGAAAGTGTGGACCTGGGAGAGATCATGTTTTCCCTTTGTTACCTGCCAACTGCAGGTCGCCTCACTCTAACAGTCATTAAATGCAGGAATCTCAAAGCAATGGATATAACTGGATACTCAGGTAGGTGTTTCCTTTCTCTGAACAAGGTAGTCATATTTGATTTCTGCGATGTTTCTGTGACACTATTACTCCTTTAAGACTTAAGGGAATTTTCTATACATTATTAAATGGATTGAGTGATTTGTTTGATTCTGATGAAGTTATTTATGGGTTAATATAAATATTTTCCAGAAACATGCAGAAAATAGTGGTATGCATAAACAGGCTACTTAGTGCTGTTTGATTGGAGATCAAGTGTTTTCCGTGAAAGTCTGAAACTGTTACAAGATCTATGCAACTTAGAAGGACTTAATTTATTTTTTCCTTTTCTTTTTTTTACATATTAAATTAGAATGTTAGATAGATGATAGATAGGTAGATAGATAGATAGCTGACAGACAGAGACAGACAGACAGACATTTCTAATTTGGCTAACTTTTCTTTAAGTCTTTCCTTAGAAAAAAAGAACTGATTTAAATTTTATCATACACATATACACACGCACCTATAAACTGATATCCTTAGGACTCAAATTTGCCTAATGTTTGTTATATGTGTACTCAACATTTCTGTGCTTTCCCATTAAGGTGCATGGCCAACATGAAAAAGATATTGGTTTGGTCTCAGTTTCTGTTAGTCTTTCAAGCAGGGGCGAAAGAGAAGCGGTAGCGGAAATTTTGAGTAGTTCAGAGAACCGGCAAATACCACGTCTTGCTGGCCCCAGAGTGGGGTGGGAATGGAGATTTTGCAATATCCTTCCCCTGGAGTGGGGTGGGAATGGAGATTTTGCAGTATCCTTCTCCTGCCATGCCCACCAAGCCACACCTACCAAGCCACACCACACCACACCCACCAAGCCACGCCCACAGAAGCAGTAGTAAAAAATTTTGGATTTCACCACTGCTTTCGAGGTAGTCCAGACAAGAAGCAGAATTCTTACATTAACACTATCTTGCAAGAAAGGAAAGAATTTGTCCCCTCCCCTCATTTTACTTTTCTGAAAACTGGGGAGGGTCCCTTCTATAACACTTCCCATGCATCCTCTCCTTCTGTGGACTGAGTTTTTATTTTTTACTTACCTATCGTCCAGTCTGTGGCTCTTCCTTCTGTTTCCCAAGAGCATTTCCACACGTCATTATAGTTTTAGATTAGATTCAGCAATCATTATTAGGCTGTTCCATAAATTTTCAAACAGATTTCTCTTCTCAATTGTATGGGTAAGAGCTTGAGAATTGGTGCCAAAAGAACTGCAAAGGACAAAGCCAAGCTCCCATTAGGCAGAGAAGATGGATGGGCATGATGGACTGTGGCGGTTGTTCTCTCTCTTGTTTTAAGGCAGGCCTAGCATTCCTGATATAGTTTCACCACTTCTCAAAAAAGTGGACAGAGAGAATTTTGCATTCAGTAGGTCCAAAGTCTCTCTGACTTGCATAATACACTTTTGTTCTAGCTGAAAGCCTGATAGCAAAGAAGCAATGACTGGGTAATGGTTTCAAACTGTGAACAACCTACATTATCCTGTAGACCCTACAGTTTTATAGAGTCTGTGCGGAGTGTATAATTATGTCCTTGTTTTTAAAATATTTTTCTTGTTCTTTGCTGAAACATTTTTTAAAAAACAATGAACACTACAGTAGAAGCTCTGGTCTGTAAATATACCCCATGAATTAAAGGGAAAATGATATAATTTAATTCCCCTTGAGAAATTTCCATGTGTAAATACCTGGTTCAGTGTCATAATCATTTTTAATGGCCTCAGCTTCCAGGTGTCAGTGTTTGCATTTTCCTGACAAATATATAATCTATGACTGCACTAACCATGAAGCTGTTTAAGCAGACAGGTATTTCTTCTCAGCTGGCATTTGATACATTAGAATCGCTGAGAATTGATGTCTCAAAGTAAGAAAACTGTTCACTAGTTCTGCAGAGGCATACCTCATTCATTCATTCATTCATTCATTCATTCATTCATTCATTCATTCATTCATTTGCTGATTTAAAACATTTATATGGCCACTCACCATATACTAAAAATTGGTAGCTCCCAATAAAAGCCAAATCTGAAATGCTTTTTGAAAGTCTGGGAAAGGAGAGTTTCTGAGTTGAATTTCCATAGGGCAGGGGCTGCCACAGAAAAACATAGAACTCATACAGTGGCAGTTTTTAGGGAAGGGAGCTAATCAGGTAAAATGGGTAGATGTCCTTAGAGAAAAATATTTCCTCTCATAACCTGGCTCTGTGCCATATAGGACTTCAAACCTAATATCTTTGAATTGCACCTGGAAGGAAACCAGAAGACAATGCAGTTTCTCATAACAAAGTGTAACATGGGAAAACTTAGGAGCACCCACCATTGCCCATCTTACCACATTCTAGACTAGTGATAGTTTTCAGGGCTCTTCAAGGGCAGGCCCATGAGAAGCATGTTGCAGTAATCCAAATAGGAAGTGACCAAGGCATGACTGATTGTGAGCAAGGTCTCCCAGTCCAGGAAATTATTATAATTATTGGGACTTCCAAATCTACAGCAATTTTTTCTTGTATTCATATTGCAATGGCTGTTTGTTTGCTTGTTTATCATATTTATATGGCCACTCATCTCACACAGTGACTCTGATTGGCATACAACAATTAAATAAAACAAAAATACATGAAAACAATTATTAAAAATAGTCAATATTAAAATTGCAACCATCAGAGAGAATAAATTAAACAGAATGATAGAGCCATCTTAGAATATCTTTGGTCCCTTGAGCCCCCAATGACAAGCCTTGAGGAGCTTAGGTCTTGAGGGGCTCAGGGAACATTAACAGGAATGAAGCTAAATTTAGAAAGAGTCAGTTTAGTAACCTCTTGTTGTCCTATTTTCTCTTTTCTTCTTTGCTTCTTTTCCCTGCTGAAAAATAAAACATTTAAATTACTTTTCATGAAAACAGTTCATTGACATATAGCTTTATAACAAAAGGGATGTTGAAAAGATTCAGACAGCAAAGGAGCTAAGGGATGCCTATAAATCAAAGATGTTGATATCCTTGTATAGAAGTATATAGTGTGAAGATGAGCAAAACATAAACAAGTACATGGAGACTCTTTTGGACCTGGATTTATGGTCACCAAGTCACTTCTAAATAAAAAAGGGGGGGAGAGATATACTTAAAACCAGATGGTATCCAGACTGGTGGTCAGCCCATTTAAATTCTAATAGAAAAAATAATGTCTTGGTTAATTTTTCCTATTTTCTCAAATACTTTAAGTAGACAGCCTCCACTGGATTTTTTTTTTTTAAAAAAAGAGGAGAACTGGGATTACATTTTAAAGCTGACAAACCAAGCTTTCCCTGTCACATAGATTGAAGCTAATAGTTTTGACTGAGCTACAGTATACTCTTAAAGAATTTTAAAAATCTAGCTAAGAAAACATTTTCAAGTGAAAATTACAAGCAGAATCTGAACCACGTTCTTGAAGTGTTTGATGCTGTTATCCAAGCTCCAAGTAATATTCAGCTCTGCTTTCTCTTTAGAACAATTTTCATTTCTTTCAACAATCAGCTAGCATGCCATGATCACTAAGCTTACCCATTTTTCAGAGAAACGTTTTCAGGATTTCCCCTCATTTTTAAATTTTCTTTAAATTGTCATTCTGCCATAATTCTTAGTTACAGAAAAGGCCTTTTTCTTTTTCATTTTAATTAACTGTAGCATATTTGAACGATCAAAAAAGAATCCTAATTTATGAAAAGGGGTCCATATTATCAAGCTTTAATTTCTGGCCATTTTTCACTTTTCCTATCCAGATCCTACATATATGTGAATTATATACTTGTAAGGAATTCTTCTTTTTGTAGGCCCCTGGATGGCACCTAGATAATCTTGACTGATCTCATTTCCAGAGTGTTACCAAAAAAGATGAAATAATGTGGTGATGAAATTACACATACAGATTTGAGCATAACTTAGAAGAGCAGGCTGAAAGTGCAGTTTGCCACCATAATTCTGCTTTTCTCTGTCAATATGTTTATTATTCAATTTTAGGTATGTTGCAGAGAACTCCCTTAATTATTGGGAGACTAGAAAGTGTTCTATAATCTCTTTGCTTTTCCCCTGTTCACCAGATCCGTACGTCAAAGTATCTTTGCTCTGTGATGGAAGGAGGCTGAAAAAGAAGAAAACCACTATAAAAAGAAATACACTTAATCCTACCTATAACGAGGCAATAATTTTTGATATCCCTCCTGAGAACATGGATCAAGTCAGTCTGCTTATATCAGTTATGGATTATGACCGGTAAGTGAGAGTCTTTGCTATCTCCAAATCCCATCTGAATCATTATCCCCCATTCACATTTCATGGTATGATTCATTTGATTACATGTACTTTGTGCTCAGAAAAATTGTATACTGTATATTCTTGTTTCTCTGTTATTGAGCAGGTGAACATAGTTCTGAATTTCCATTGTTTCTGATAAGAACATGTTTAGTTTTCTCCATAGAGATTAATTATATTGATCACCAGAACAAAATTGTCATTCTGCCATAATTCTTAGTTACAGAGAAGGCCTTTCAAAATTGATGTGCAGGCAAATCTCAGAGAAAGGATAAGTTCTACCAGGAGCTCTACTTATAAAAACAGTCCATATCTTGATTGCAAGTAGAACAAAGTCACTGCCCCTGTTTTACCTAAGGTTTTGACTTTGGGGGTGGCGTGTTGGAATTATTTTTTTTTTACATTTTAAAAAATTCGTTAGAGTTAATTCCTTCCACAAAATTTCTAATACTAAGGAAAAATTGGACACCCACTTCTGTTTGGATTCAGAATTTCAGTTTACTGAAATAGAGTTTTTAACAGCATGCGTTAGTAGCAAGAAAGAGGACTCAGAAACTGATTCTTTATGAGACACTTGGAATTTCTGTTTTACAACTGAATATATAATAACTGGAATATGTGTACTACACTGCTGCTTATTTGTCTTACATGATTCCACTGCTTTCTGATAAATCAATCAGATTTGAATTGTAGAAATCTAGACAACCACTACAATATTGAACATATTCTTGCTGTTATTTATTTGTTGTCCATATTTTTATAGCCCAGATTTTATTACTCTATACACAAATTTTGTTTAGCTTCTCCATATTATTTTTGAACTGAGGTCCATAGTTCATTCTTTTCGTAACAACAAAGACTGGTTTATACTTCTATGGCATTTAGACAGGAAGAGGTCAAGAATCTGGTCTAGAATTAATGCTGAGTAATCATGGATAAAGTTTGCCTTATTTGTTTAATATTCAGTGTTCTTGTTTAGAGTAGCATCTCAATCAAATTAATCTGTGATAAGATATCATTTTCTTGAGTTTCTCTGTCTCACTTAGCTGCTACTTGAAGAGAGAAACTCATGGACATGAAGAAATGGTATGGATTCTTTTAGAATGGATATGTTTGGGGTTATTAATACTTAATGAATGCATATTATAATTTAAAATACACATTTTTTGCTAGGATAGAAGATAAACTGTAGAAAAAGTTACATTACCTACTCACAAAATATATTGAGCCAAGAAAGAGAAATAAAGCAATAATAAAATGTTGAAGAACCAGAAAGTGATCCTAGTGAATAAAAGAAATTTCATAGGGTTAATGAGTCAATTGCCAAAAGAGAATAAAAGTATTAAAAATATCCTACATGTGATTATTGCTTTCAGGGTTGGCCATAATGAGATTATTGGGGTTTGTCGTGTGGCAAACAATGCTGAGGGACTAGGCCGAGACCATTGGAATGAAATGTTGGCTTATCCACGTAAACCAATTGCACATTGGCATCCACTCGTAGAAGTGAAGAAATCCTTTAAGGAGGTATGTAAAGATTTATAATTTTCTTCAATACGTGTCCAATAGATACTCTAGAAGCAGAGAAACAATTTACAACTTCTAAATCCTTTCCTTTATTAATGAGCTCAAGCCACAAGAGTGGCTTGGTGAGAAATTTATAGAAGCAAAAAGAACTCTTGGAAAGTTCCTGCTATGTTTGAGATCTACTGCATTTAAGCAAAGATTTGACTGTAGATGATTTTTTTCTAAATAAACTATTGCAAGCAGAAACAGTGGCATGATGAGTAATCCAGCTGCAATTAATACTTAAATATTGCTTTGTCATAGATGGATATGACATGCTAAAACCCATCGGATAAACTAAAAAGAAGAGGAAGTTCATTGCAATGAGTCATTTGATAATAGAAAAAGCTACTCAAGTAGAAAATATATCTTGCAGATTTATAAAAGATATACAGTGCAATATTTAATGGCAGAGCTTTAGTGATTATTTTTTAATACAGTAAAATCTTGATTTTACAGTCCCCGCAGACAGAATGACTATTAATCCAAATTTCATTCACATCCATTTCTGTCATCATGTCCACCAGTTTATAATATTAATCCATTAAACGGGTGTGAAATCTAAACTGTAAAAACTAAAATGTTTTAGAATGTCTGCTAAATCAAAGTCCATTAAACCGAGGTTTCATTCCTTTTTATATGCAATAAAACATATTTTGAGGAAAAGAACTTCCGGACAGAATTAGTCCTATGCTCTTGACTGAATATTAGGTAATCCTAAATTTAGTTTGAGAAGGTTCAAGAACTTCAGTGAAATAAATTGCTTGCTAATTCAGCAAGAATTGGTTTAAGCAACCTATTCAAAGCAGGGAGAACTTTATTAAAAACCTGTCCTGGTTAGACAATCAGCAACATTATGAAATTATCAAGCCATCTTATTACCTTAAAAAACATATTACCTTAAAAAGCTTCGAACATACAGTATCTGCTGTATGTTCCTTTTCCAATAACATCTAGCTCAAAGCAGTTCCTCATAAGAAAAGAATTTAGAAAAAAATATGTCTCAATATAATATACTAAATATATAGCATAACAGCAATACAGAATTAAACATATAATAAACAGTAAGTGCAGTTAAAACACATACATTTACTCCAATATAATAGCATAATAATAATTTAAAAAATGAACAGCCTTAAGTTACAAAGCAAACTGATTTGCATGGTAAGGTAGTAAGTGGAGTGTGTCCTTTGGCTGCTTACAAAAGAAGCTTTGTGCTTGGAAGCAATCTCAGTTTATATAAATCATCTTAAAATTCAGGAAACAAACTGGGAGGCCTTTCCCATCACTCACCCCCTCCCTCCAGTTCCCCATCTCTTCCTGTCATCTGTGAATCAGGCTGCTGAAGATCCAACAGAGATAAGAAACCATTGTACTTCTAAAATAAGCACATCAAATGCATATATGTGATGTATCCCACCATGATAGTTAGTCTCCCCCCAAAATGTTGTTCTTTTCTTTTAGCAGTAGATCAAGCAAGGCAAAAAGAATTGATGTGAATATTTTCTGAAGGAGGGGTTGGAATCTCCACTGAAGCAGTAACTCATTTAAACAAGATCTAGTTTGCTCATTAAATCGAATACATAAATAGTTGAATTACCTTGCTGCCCCAGGGAACCAAAGATATTTTCCAGATGCAAATTAAAAAAAAAAAAAAACTTGGCTTCCATGGGCTTTTGTTTTCTTTTATGAAGTCCAGCTCTGTAGACTAGAGCAACATTTCCAAAATTGCAGCTGCTGTTCATTGCAATTTCCAGAACAATATACTCTAGCCATTTGCTATTAAAAATTTCCCTTCCTCCTTCTGTTCACCTTCTACTACATAGTTCCCTAAAAGTATAATATTTGTAATCTAACACATCCAAAGAATCCCAAACTAAAGATTAGGGCAGACTGAAGAATTAAATTTAGAGGCTAGGCAAGGAGTTGAATAAGTGTTTCTGATTAGATTAGAAAGAGGAATTCCTTTTATTTCTGTTTCTTTTTCCCCCCCTTACTTTATTAGTTTGTGTTAGCTTTTAACTTCATATTTTAAAATTTTAATTATAAGTATCTGTATATGCATATGTACATTTATGTAGTATATATAAAATATATCAATCAGAATAGAGCTGGAAGGGACCTTGGAGGTCTTCTAGTTTAACCCCCTGCTCAAGTAAGAGACCCTATATCATTTCAGACAGGTGGTTTGTCCAGTCTTTTCTAAAAAAACCCTCCAGTGATGAAACACCTACAACTTCTGAATGCAAGCTGTTCTACAGCTTAATTGTACTCACCGTTAGGAAGTTTCTCCTTAATTCCAGGTTTGCTTCTGTCCTTGATTAGTTTCCATCCATTGTTTCTTGTCTTGCTTTCTGGCACTTTGGAAAATAACTCAACCGCCTCTTCTTTGTGGCAGCCCCTCAAATACTGAAATACTGCTATCATGTCACTCCTAGCCCTTCTTTTCTCTAGACTGGCCATACCCAATTCCTTCAACCATTCTTCATACGTTGTTGTCTCCAGGTCTTTAATCATCTTAGTTGCTCTTCTTTGAATTTTTTCCAAAGTCTCAACATCTTTTTTGTAATGTAGTGACCAAAACTGAATGCAGTATTCCAGGTGTGATCTTACTAAGGATTTTATAAAGCGGTAATAATACTTCACATGATTTTGATTATATACCTCTGTTTATATCACCAAGGATTGTATTAGTTGCTGGCTCATATTTAAGTGATTTTAATTTAATTTATCAAATTTCTATGCCGCCCAACTCCCAAGGGACTATGGGTGGCTTACAGCAAAAAAATAATATAACAAAGAACATAGGAAAATTATTTAAAAACATTATAAAAACATTTTAAAAACATTAAAAGTCCATGCATACCACATCCATTCATGGCCGGATCTCGCAGGATTGTAACAGTGAGATCAACAGCCTCAGGCCTGCCGGAAAAGCCAGGTCTTCACCGCTTTCCAGAAGGCCAAAAGGGTGGGGGTAGTTCGGATCTCAGGAGGAAGTGATCATTCATGAGGACTCCAAGGTCCCTCTCACAATCACTGTTTTTGAGGCAGGTTTCACCTAATCTGTACTTGTACCTTTGTTTTTTCCTGCCTAGGTGTAAAACCTTGCTTTTCTCCACATTACATTTCATGTTGTTGGATAGGGCCCATTGTTCAAGTCTTTCAAGGTCTTTTGAATCCCGAGTTTGTCTTCTGGGGTATTGGCTATTCCTGCCAGCTTAGTGTCATCTGCAAATTTGATTCTATTCCATCATCTAAGTCATTTATGAAAATATTGAAGAATACTGGGCCTAAAACAGAACCTTGGGCTGCCCCACTGCTTACTTTCCTTCAAGTAGAAGTAGTACCACTAGAACTACTCATTGAGTATGGTTTGTCAGCCAGTTACAAATTCATCTGGTGATGATGCTGTCTATGCTGTCACATTTTTCTAGTTTACCAAGAAGTAAGTTGTGCTCTACTTTGTTGAGTGCCTTGCTGAAGTCTAAGTATACTATGTCCACAGCATTTCGCTGGTCTACTAATTTAGTCATTTTATCAAATAATGAAATAAGATTGGTTTGACATGATTTATTTTTAACAAACCCGTGCTGATTACTAGTTCTCATCCATAAGAAACTAAATGTCTTCGAGGAAGGGAAAAAAAGTCCAGTTGCCTCTTGAAAAAGCACCTTTGGGGCAACCATGACCTGGATGACTGAGAATCTCCAAAAGCAATCTATCCCAACTTCTCTTGGAAGGAATCAGGTTTTATATTTTTGTTCCACATACTAAAGGTCAAGCACATTGTATGCTGCTCAATTTCTCCTATGCTTGCTCTAAAGCTTGTGGTGCTCCACTCTAGTTTGGCACCTGAAAAAGGATGTGTCCATCTTTTGGTCTCCAACTAAAATGCTTCCAGCGGCAACATTTTCTCTGGAAAGAAGGTTGTAAATGCGTAATAGAAAGCTGAGTTCTTTGGCCTCATCTTCCTCCCATCCCATCAATGATACTGTGGGCTTCAGTTTATATAAATGCAAATGTCTGTTTTGGGAAAAAAAATGCATAATTGCACCTATAATATTTTATATTAAGTGCTCATCTGATAAAATGATCACCCCCACATTATTTAAAGAGGCTCAGGAATAATTGTAACCTAAAATTGAGTGCTGAAATATCACTTGAAATATCCACAAATTGTAACATGATGATACCTGACAACTTTCTGTGCAGCAATATTAAATGCCATGTACAATTATAAAACAATGCATTTTAAATTATATTCATAAAATATCTTATGCATACCTAAAGTGTGTTTATCATGTGCCAGAAGTAAGGACTAATTGAGGCTCTCTTACATGACAAAAAAATCTTTCTTTTACTGTGTTTTTTTCAAATATAAATCCCCCCCAAGTATACCCAAGGTTACTCTCAAGTAAATATAGATAGGATTGCTGCCATAATCAATAAGCATTTATCTGCTAGCAAGAAGGATGCACATTCTAGCAGTATAAGACATCTGAAAATCATTAACCAGATAAAGCTTTGATCAAAGCTAGATGGACTTGATTCAATATTTTCCTTCATTTTTATGTTTTCCTTTATTCTTTGATCCATTAGAATTTTCCCTGAATGTAGGGGGAAGGATTTTACAAAGTCTTTTTCTTCTATAGCACTTTCTATCATCACTTGTAATTTTTAAAGCATTACTCATCAATTCTTCACTACAGAATTTGGTACCCATCAAAAGCATTAGAAAGAATGGAATATTTGTTTTTTAAAAAATCCAAGATTGAATTCTAAACAATTAACTGGTCATATTTATACTTTTTTTTTATTTTGAAGACAAGAAATAGAAGAGGCTCAAGTTATTGAGACCATTAAAAAGGATAGTTGTAGGGCAGAATTTACAGCCGTCACATAGCAAATTGTGTCTGGAAATTCTACATTAAAAAAATACAGGACTTTGTTCCCGTCATCGAGATGTAAGCTTTCACGGGTGCTAATTATTATCACAAGACACTACCTTTAGATTTAAGTACAGCATGTACTCCTTTGATCTCCTTCTGCTAAGAAAAATTCTGAGCAATATGCAGGGTTGGGAAGCATTCATGAATAAATAAATGAATAAAAATCCCAAACCACCAAACCAAACATAACACAATATGCTGTTCCTTTGTGGATGTGAAAAAATTTGAACCAGATTTAGCAACTGAGATCCAGTCTGCAAGCCTTTATGTTGTCGAAAACACCACTTCACATCTGCCAAAAATAAACCTATTTAACATCTGGCAATTTAATGACTATTTACAATGTAACTGTTGATGGGATTTATCATAATTTTCAGCAATATGGAAGGAGGACTCTGGAATGTGAACTGAAAATCTTAGTGTTTTTTTTTATTTAGGGCTACCAAATTTGAACTGCAAAAATTTGTATGATGACTAGATTGCAGGAAATAAAGTTCTACGTTTTTCTACAGTCATGTGGTCCCCTGTAATTTTGCAAAGCAGATCTGATACCCCTACTTTTCTTCATGAAATTAGAAATTAATATTAATCTGGTACATGTTGGATTGTTGTTTTGCTTAGCATTTGTCCTGCATGATTACAGGGTTGGCTTCTAATTCCACTGCTCTCTCCTAGTTCTCCCAGAAAAACTTACCAATGCATAACACAATACATTGGCTTCAATTGGCTTGTCACAGAACCTGATCAAGGTTGAGAGTGAAGGTCACCCAGCTAGTTTCTGTACCTAAGGAGAGTTAGGAAACCCGGCTCTGCTCACTTCTAATCTAGTACTTTAACCTTTACACCATGCTGGCTCTCTGGTACCGTATATATTGGATTAACAGGGATACATCAAATGATCATAGTAAGAGTTTATTTCTATTATCTCTTTTTTCTTATATTACATATGAACTGTAGCAGAAAGACAGAAGATGTGGTCAGATTGAAATTGCTCATGTATAGTATTTCATGTGTTCTCTTATTATTATAACTAGTCAATATTCAAAAAAGATATTTATACTTGCTTTTGATTAAAGTTTCATGGGGTTTTTTAAATCTTGCAATTGCATAGGATGTGATCCAAGAAAAATGGGGAAAGGAGTTAGCATGGAAAAAAGTAACAGCTGGGTTGCAGTGGCAAGACTGTGAATTTCATTAAAACTATGACAGCAGTCTCTAGTAATCATCCTTCCCTAAACTGGTACCTTCTGGTGCATTGTAGTTGTAATTCTCAAACTTTTCACTAACATGGCCAAAGAAATTTTAGAAGTTGCACTTGTAACATATTTGTAAGGTACCAGATGAGGAAGTCTATTGTGAATCTGATTTGACCCAACCAAGCTGAAACAACTCCTTAGTGCTAATCACTAATGCCCTATTGAAATCTGCAAATGACCCTTTATGTATTTCTGCCAACAGCAATGTCCAGTAACTGGGTTGAATGTCCCCAAGGCAGTGATGCCTGTAGCAGAACCATCCCATTCCCTTTCTACTATGATGCTGCCTTCCTCCAAATATTCCAAGGTATCAGACAAGGGTCATTCTTTACACAAGAGATCTATTTAAAAGTATAATAACAATTTCTAAAAACAATTAAACAAACCTTGATGGGCAAAGAGCTAGCAAAGATGTCTGTAGAAAGAGCTTGGCTATATCTGACATTGCCACAGATTGTCATCAATTTAACACTATAAAACATTTACATTTTAATAAGGCAATTTCAAACTTTTGGGACTCTGACACTGATTTATTTTTTAAAAAATACATCAAGTACTTAATGAGGGGGTTGGCCTAGAAGACCTCCAAGGTCCCTTCCAACTCTGTTATTCTGTGATTCTATTGTGTTATTCTGAGACCAAATGATAACTCAGGTGCTTGATCAAAAGTAATTTCTTTTGGGTATTTAGAACAATGAAAACGTCTAAAGAAAGAAAGAAATCATACATGGAATCAATCTCAAACTGCTCTAAACAAAAACAGTTTGTTTAGATTTTTTTTAAAAAATGTTTACTCTATAAATTGATGGTTTGTATAAGAGAAATTCATTTTATTAACAAAAGATCAATATGAAACTAATTTTGTACGCTGAACAGATTCATCTACTTGTACAGACCATCTCCTCTGTTACCTCTTGCATTCTTGAAATGAAAGACATTGAAGGAGAAAAAACTGTATCTCTTTCTAGGGACCTTGTGGTATAGTGACTAGAATGTTGAATTAGCATTGGGGACAGTAGGCTTGAAATTCCCATTCATTCATGAAGATAATCAAGACCATGATTTTATATTGGGGCTTCTCTCTCAGTCTGACTCTCCTCACAGGATACATGTGAGGGTGAAATGCTGAAGGAAAACCAAATTCACCTCTTTTTTTGGATGAAAGATAAGATATACAATATGTAATCATATTTATATGCCACAAATCCACCTTAGTACATTCATATTCTACATTTTTAATATAGAATTATACAAATATATCTCTTATATGCAGGGATCCCCAATCCACTACTGGACCATGGCCTATTCGCAACTGAGCCACGTGAGCCACACGCAACTTGACTCTTGCGAGCGGTGGGCTGATCACACATACACATGGGTGCACGCAGCTAAACTTTGAAAGTTGAGCTGCACGTGCACGCGCATGACTCAAGCTGCAAGCTGGCCCAACATTCACACTGCCAGGTTCCCCTTTTCCTCCTCCAGCCAGGTTGGCAATCTGCAAAGGTTAGGGAACACTGTCTTAATAGTCCTTTATATAATTTGTGTGATGATGCAATGACATGTCACTTGTCATCCTTGCCTCCTGCTGATGCCCTGTACACTGTCTCCCCACAGATCTGTAAATAAAACTATCTCAATGTAACACATAGTAAATAGTCATTAGCTTTCTTGTTTTTCAATCCAAACTGTCCAATTCAGCTTGTGTCTAGTTAATAATGCCAGCAATAAATTGCTATTATTATAATTATTATCATTGTTATATACAGTACTACTGAAACTTGGTTAGCCCAAACAATACATTATACCACAACAACTTTTTAATCAAAGTCCCTAAAATCTGCTAAGATAAAGGATGTGTAAAAATCTGGGACCCATTACTCCTGTGGAATTAAAATTACCACAACCTTCAATCCAGCTTTATTTGTAAAGCTGTAACTGCCATGTGATCCTGATTTCAGATGCTCCTACCTAGCTTCCCACATGCAAAGTCAATGGGAAAGTTGCAATTATGACCTCAATGGGTCATAATTAGTCAGTTATTATTATATTTATTTGCTGCTTCAGATTCAGAAGATTGTACAACTTATAGTTTACAATAAATATCTAGAGTGGAATAGTTAACATTTAAAAACATAAATATAGTAAAAGCAAAACACAAATAACATTAAACAAAATATAAATAAGTATTATAATAATAGTATAGAAATAATTAACACAGAATAACAAGTGTAAAACACCAAAGGAAAAAAAATCATATCCCAAAATCTCTCCATAAAAGTTTGCCTTTTTAGAAGGCTGTCAGTGATGAGGACAGTCTAGAGCAGGGGTATCAAACTCGCATCGTCATGGTGTCACTTTCCCCCCTTCACTAAACCAGGCATGGGTGTAGGCAGCGCGTGACACATCTGGCCTGTGGGCTGCGAGTTTGACACCCCTGGTCTAGAGGGAAGGCCTTCCAAGTGCCATGATTGAAAAGTAATTCTGTTGAGAAACTTGCATAACATTTACTTGAAACTGCTTTATATAACTGTAAAACAGATTGCCAGTAATGTATAACTGAATGTGCCTGTAAGTATGCTTAAGCCATATGCCACACAATGCTATTTACTTCCACATCTGATCTGATTTTCAGTTTCAGCAATGACTTTATGTCTAGGAAATGGAGCCTACTAAATTGTATTATCTACAAATTAGTTAATTTAAAATCAAATTTAGATTTGATATAGGTCAATATTTTTTTTAAAAAAATTGTATAGTAAAGTATACAATATTGTATACTTTACAATATTGTATTGTATTTCAGTATAGTAAAATAAAAAATAACTCAAGGGCAAACTAAGGACAAACATCTTCTGAGCAAGATAAGGAAACTTGTTGAAGGGCACTGAAATTTCATGATGTATCTAATGATCACAGTTTGCTTTAAAAAAAGTACAGTTATGTTCGTAATCTGTCCCTTTTATAATCTGTACCAATTTGTACCACTCTTAGCACTCTGTATCAGCTATACTATTCCAGAGTAGTTCCAGAATTAAGTTTTAATCAAGCCATGGGTAACAATTGCCAGATCAAATCAATTCAGGAATAATCACATCTGATGTAGCAGATATATTTGTACAAACATATCTTGATTATTGCCGCTATTTGAGAATCTAAAGTCAGGTGAAGGTCAGGAAGTACACCATTATTCTGGTTCTGGTCTGTCAGGGAAAGCATAATTCCATTGAAAAGACATGGAATATCAACATAAATGTTTGGGTCCCTATTTATGAAGAGCATCTCCATCTTGTCTAGTTATACTTTCATCTTGTCTACTTTTAGCCTGAAATCAAACTTAGATAATCTTTGAAATATTTACTTACTTGAAGTTAAATGGTAAGAATCGGTAAAGATAATTGCTACCACTATATTTCCAGAAGTTCTACTCAAAGACTCAGATGGCTTCCCCTAGTGGTTTCATATAGATGTTGCCCAGCATGAAGACCATGATGGCTTAATCAGAAAAGGTGTATTTGTTACTTTCAGGTCAACTGAAGGTTTCTTTAATAGTGTTCTTTAAAAATGGATAAACATTTTGCCATCAATCAAGCAATTATTTCCCTTAATCATGGGCTGACTGATTTCTGACTGATTTAATTAGCCAGGAGGGGCAAAGGTTGAGCAGGCATTTCTCCAGGCAATGCTAAAAACTTTAGAAGAAGCACTTGCTATGCATATATCTTGTATTTCAAGCCATATGAATAAAGGGATTCTGGAAGTATGATCCCAATACATGCAGACATGCCAGTTTAGAGAATTGTGAAGTGACAGAAACTGTGTAGGTATGTGTGTGTGATTTAATTTTTTAAAATTAAGTCAGGCCTTTTAATCTTTTGTAATTATATTATCTCCTATTGTATTACACTGTAAAAAATTAAATAAAATTAGTTTTACCGCTAATATAGCAATTATTGCCAATGTTTCCACAGATATTTCAATTACATTATAATGCAGGAGTAGATTTACTTATTATTCATATATTATGGATTGAGAAGGAATGGATTGAGGCTCAGAGACTAAGTTTTATCATTCCAGGTTAAGCTAAAATATGAAACAAAGGTAGCAGCACTTATGAATAATATTAGCCATCATTGGGAATGTAATTTCTGAATTATGGTATCGTAGGAATGTCTAATCTACAGTATTATGGATAGATTATGGATACTTCAGGCTTTTTTAGGTAATCAGGCCTATGGGGTTAGAACTTTAAAAACCCCTATGGTCATCATATTGTATTGTTTTCCGATTCATATTGCTTGGGGAAGGGTTGTTTGTTTTTTAATAATATTGTAGACAAAATGAGGCCTTCCCTGATTCATTTTAATTCTTTTCTAAGTCCTTACCAATTTGTCAACTGTTTTTAGCACAAATCTTATCTTTACTCATGCTACATTCCTCTCATCCAACTGCACACTTTTCTGCTAAGTAATCTTAATTTGCTGATCATTCATCCATCATTTTGCTTATCCTTGCATAGAATTCAGTTCTCCATCTTCTCTTCTCCCCCCTCCTTTCTAATAACTTTTTACTAATATATTTGCAAAGTATTTTGTTGATAAGGTCTCTGTGGGACCTTGTTCTGCCTTATTAATATGCATTGATTTCTCTACATTGGCTTTGTTTTGCCCTTTCTTCTAATGTTCTCTTATCATTAAAGTCCCCCCTTTCTCTGCTTATGTCCTTTCTGTGCTGCTGTATCATTGCTCGCTCCCTCAGTTCGTCCTCTTTTCTTCCACTTTGTTTAGAAGACTTTTAAAATCTTTGGTTTTCTTGTTTTTTCAGTATGAGGACCTTCTGTTATAGGAAAGCTTTCTGTAATTTGAAGCTTTTATATATATATATATATATATATATATATATATATATATATATATATATATATATATATATTGTTTCAACCATTTGACTGTTAGCTGGGGATTATGAGTAATGACATCAATCATAAAAGAGCACGAAATTGGGAAAGAATAAGGATAATATAACATAGGATAGGATAGGATAGGATAGGATAGGATAGGATAGGATAGGATAGGACAGGACAGGACAGGACAGGACAGGACAGGACAAAAAGACAATACAAGATAAGATGATACTAGATAAGGCAAGGCGAGATGGGATGAGATGAGGGGAGGGAAGAGAAGGGGAGGGGAGGAGAGAAGAGGAGAGGAGGAGAGATAACATTTATTGTCATTTTTTTCTGTATACACAATGGTACACATTAAAATGAAATTCCGATACTGCTCTCAAAAGAAAAAACACCACACACCAAACACTGTCACCATCCCAAGGATAATAATAATAATAACAGAAGCATCTAAAATTGCCAAGTTATATAAAATGACACCAACACTTAGTACATAAATACAAGCAGAAGACTATAGAAGAATATAAAGAATATTTTAATATATCCCTTTTTGCATTTACAGAGGCCATCTTATTACATCTTCTCTCTCTACACCTTTGTCTTGATAACAGAAAACCTGTGGATTAGAATTTCTACGGTTTTTTTTCAATTATAAACATTAAATTTGTGGGAAATGATATATAACAGTAATTATGATTTTGTAAATTGTGTTAGGCATGCTCACTAGCATATTGAAATTTTTCCTTGATTGCTTAAATTCAGTTTGTTATCCAGTATAAACCTTATCTTTCTCAGAGCCTGTATCAATAATCTCCATCCTATGATTCAATGTGGACATCTGTGAATCTTTACTATCCTCCAGAGACATCATCTTCTTAATTCCATCTATAGCTTTCAGAAGCTGTATTTTTTAATAATGAGGAGCTGGGCAAGAAACATAATCCCTCTTGGCCTACATCATATCTTTTCCCCATTTTACATTGTAATTTTTAAATTCAGCAAAATGTAGACATTACTGTTTTATTCTCATAGTGCAAAAAAAAAAAAAAAATTCCCAGAAATGCTAATCTCCATTTAGGAAAGCAATATATTTTAAATCCAGACTTAATCATCCTTAGTGTAGAACATTTAAACCAGTAGTTCTTTTTTTATTTTTCTCCACTTATTTATTGGTTTCACTGTAAGCATGATTAAGCCTGAATCCAATCCAAACTTACTTTCCAGTGTGTACACTCCTGCAGGCATATTAATGAAGATTGCCACTAGGTCCATGGAAAGAAATGCATGAAAGTAATTGGGTCCTCTCTTAAATTTAAACTAATGAGACTACCCACTTATGCAGGGGTTTAATTGGTGTCTAAGCACAGATAGAAAAACTAAATTAGTTTGTGAACTGCTTAAAAAAAATGTTTAAAAAATCAGCTGCCTTTTTTCTTTCCACAGTGGCATGGCCGTGCAGCCAGCTTTGATAGTCAAGGTTCCTGCCCCTCTCCCAAACCACCTTCAACACCATGATCCATCAAGTGGTGAATATTGGGCCTCAACCAAATTCTTTTTGTTTTGCTCTGATATTTTCTCCATGGGTCTTGAATTCTAATTCAACCTATTGCTGAGTAACAGAAGAATGAGGATCAGACATTCCTTGTTTCCACCATGAAAAAAGGCACCAAGGCCTTTTACAGTGGTGTTTGTCTTAGTTATTTCTATCTATCAAGGCCGTGTACTTTGTGTTTTTTCACTTTTTGGATATGGCTGCTAAAAAGAAGAAAAGAAAAGAAAAAAAGAAGAGAAAAGAAAAGAAAAGGCATAGGCTGGAACTCTGGCCTATAAAATAATATGTAAAATAGTTATTTGTGTGTATGTAAAGGAACAAATAATAGAGAACTGTTGTACTTCTGCACATCAGCATGCAGATTTAAGAGAGACAGCAGAATGAAAATGAGAAGGCCTTGATTAGGCTCCTTGTGACATGTGAACACCCTTTTGTTATTGTGATCAGTTGAGACATTACAGCTTTTCTTATTCATGCTGTGATGTTCATGGAATCTGTGAAATACAGCCCAGCCTATCCTTCTGTATATTTTAAAGAATTGCTAATTCCTCAGGGAGAAATGATCCATTTTTTGTAGTTGTGTTCTTGAAAGAGCCTTTTGCATGAATTCAGCTGCTTAAGGTCCTGTGAACTCCTGTGGCAGTTCTGCACTGATTACAGGTTTGTGAACTTTTTTTTTAACTATTTCTCTTTTATATATATTGAGTTGCCATTTCTCCTCTCCCTTCCACCCTCCGCTAAAAATTGTTATATTATTTAAATAGGTATTTTTTCATTGTGATTTAGTTCAGGTTTCGCCAAGAAGCAAATACACTGAATTAAATTAGTTTGCCACAGTTATTTTCAAAATTAACTTCTTTAAATTTGGAAGCTCAAACAGGGCAAAACCTCTTTTACACTCCTCTGCCCTGCAAAAATGAAAGGTTACACATTTTATGCCAATGTTTTCACAATAATTATTTCTAATACAGTTTTGTTTCCTTTTCTGTGTTAAATCACAAGGTTGTCACATGGCATTTATCTTCATCTGATTTTGAGGGTGCTAATAATGGCATGCTGGCGCTGTATGTAATCTTACTCTCATTTGCCCACCATTGCTCAAAATATTTTTCCGTTTCTGCCTCTCTTGCCTGTGCTTATAAGCAGTTTGTAATATTTAAATGCAGCAATCAAGTGAGCTACACTAGATTACCATGGGACTTTCTGGGAATTTATCATTATCTTTTCTCTCCTACTCCTAGAATCATTTTTAAACATTCTTTTTAATTTCTCCAGGGACATGCAAAAACCCTTGGTCCCTTCATAGCCAAACAGCATGCTCCTAGTAAACTTTTGCTGCAAATTTTGGCAAGTATCTCCCCCCCCCACCCCCAATGCAAATACCGAACGTCAGTTGATATTAAATCTACTTCAGTTCAAGCCTTGTATATTCATTATCTTCAACATCCTGGTACCTGCTATGTCTTATGTACCTGCTTCTATGCTGTTGCCGAACAACTGAAAGGTGACAATCATAGTGACCAGGTTGCTGATATGTGGTTACTACAATACCAGCATTATCAATAACTGGATGTAACATTGCTCAGTGATGAAGACTTAATGTTGGCACTGCTGAATGATGAAGCTTGAAAGTTTTGGCATGAATCGAGCTCTGCTAATACACCTATGGAACCAATACTTTTAAAAGAAACATAATATACAAATATTGATGATCTCATCTTAGAGCATTAACTTTCCAAAGCTTTCATTGCATGAAATCAATTTACTTGTCTTTTGGGGATTAATATTTAAGCACAAAATGTGAATACATCTGGTTTCACTGAACTAAACGAAACTATATTGTACTGTTACCCTTTTCCCATCCTATTAATTTCAATGGAAACTGAGATGTCTCCAGCTTTCTCTAAATGTTTCTCCATCCTGCACATATGATTCATGCCTGGAAGCAAAAGTCTAAATAAGGATTATCATTCTGAATCTGATTCTCTAAAGGTCACATGTTGCTGCTAGGATGAGGGTATATACATCTTGTGGCACATACATAATACCTCTTCTGTACTGTGCACTGAAAAACAAATTAATAAAGCTTACAGACTTAAAAACACTGGCCACCTCTTCATTAGGCAAAGCTAATATCCAGAGGCCATCAGTTTACAAGTTTCTGGATCAGAGAAATAGATGATAATATATTAATGGTTACCCATAATGAGTTTTCATGAGAGTCTTAAGAATGACTTAATTTACAAAAATACCTCTGCTAAGTTTCTTCCCTTTGGTTTTGTTAGGCTTTTTATCTACTTGACAGGGATATTATTGTGTCTTTGAAGTGATATTTGAAATATTTTGCTTTTAGACTTGCAATATTACCTTAATGACAGAAATGTTCTCAAATCACTGTACATTAACGTTCCACCCAGATACGTTCAGTACTGAGCCCAATTTTTTAACAAACACTTTTAAAATTTAATCATAATCCTTATCTCTGCATTAATGTTCTGACTCACTGATCTGAATACTTTCCAGACTTCTGTAAATAACTTTGTAGGGAAATTTTGTTCCGCTAAAGACCAATTTGTTCTAGCTCCTCACCACACCTTGTGTCTTAATTTCCTCTGTACGTGCCACATGCTACAGGAGCATCAGTCTAATAAAGTGACTTTTTTTGGAAACTCTTGTCTTGGGCATAATTTTGTTTTTTCAATTTCTTTTCCGCAACAAGGAAGGGAAATAGCCAGTTAGTTAATAAAACAACATTGTGTCAGCTGCAAAAAAAAGAAAAAAGGAAAGGAAAGGAAAGGAAAAAAAAGACATTGAAACAAGCTGAAAGGTAGTCTATTTTCTGTTATGAAAGACATTTTTTGTGATCTTACCTATCAGAAGTGAGTGATGGTTCTGAAAATAAGATATTTTCAAGTACATAGTTGGAATACAGGATACTTTATTATAGTTTCCCTCAATTTGGGGGCTTTAAATGTGGTGGTTGTGTTCCCAGCAAACGTGGTTTCATACACTTTCAGGGTAACAAAGGGAATGAGTTTCAAAGGTCATGAGAATCTGAAAAACTTTTTTAATTTTGCAACTTAGAAGATTTAAACAGTGCTGAAAATGTAATTTTGATTATGGGCCATCAAATTGATGTCAACTGTTAGCACCTATCACACAGATACGATAATATATCCTCAATCTGGCCTTTCAGATTTCTAATGATGGCTCCATAATCACTGGAATTGAATCCATCCCCCTTGTTTATCTTCTCTTTTCTTTTCCAGCATTATACACTTTTAGAGAGAGTAGGATCTTCTTATAATGTGCTGAAGACATAGTAATTTAAGCCAAGTGACTTGTATCTCATGTGAGAACTTTGGCTTGATTTATTGTGATCCATTTGTTAGTTTTACTGGGTAGCCATCATAATCTTGGGATTCTTTTCCAAGAACAAAGTTCAAAAGTGTTAATAGACTTTTTCCTTCAGTCCGTTTGATTTTCTTTTAATCAGTTACTATTTGTCTATTGGCATCCTTCAACATATCAATTCAAGGTCAGAATCTCCCTCTGAGTTCAGAATTCTTTTGGTAGACTTTCCTTGTTTTTCTATTTCTGTTTCTACCTTTTATGTCTACATATATCACTGTTTCTTTTCTTTTTGAATAGCTTTCTGAAATTCTTTGTTAAGTTCCTCCCCAAGCTCTTTGAGTTCTTTTTTGTTCTTGGCAATTTCCACCATGTTTTGTCTTCTGGTTTTCTTTCTTGTTTTTTGTCTCAGATTCAATCTTAACAATTCCTTTGATTTTCATGCCAGAGTTCTTCTGCTTCCAAATCAGTGAATTATAGGACTATAAAAGCAATTCCTGATGTTGTCCTTGAAAATTGTGAATATTTGTTCAAAATGATATTGTGGAAATTGACTGGCAAGGATTTCTTGGGAAGAAATGGTGGACTCTTTCAACCTTCTCTGGAGGAAGTGAGGATGTGAGATTATCCACATTGCATTCCATACATTTGCTCCTCCCCAAGGAAATTGCCAAGCAGTGGTCACAAGAGTGTGGGAGAACTGAGCTGAGGGAATTTGCTGTTCTTAATCCAGCTGCAGACAGAATCTTCAGAGGACACTGTTTTAAGGAAGTTAAAGTGACACGACTGGAAACACCAGATCACTGTCTTCAATCCTTAGTATAAGAAAATGAAACTATATCTTTATAAACTTTAAGAATTCAAAGTAAACAGCAAGAAAAGGTTTTAACTACAGAAAATTAGTTAGGGGCTCAGAAAATGTTGGGAGATTTTATTTTGAATATTGAAACTTTGAAATGATTTTTTTTTTATTTGATTTATATGCCGCCCTTCTCCAGAGACTCAGGGCGGCTTACAATATGTTAAGCAATAGCCTTCATACTTTTGTATATTTTATACAAAGTCAGCTTATTGCCCCCACAATCTGGGTCCTCATTTTACCTACCTTAGAAAGGATGGAAGGCTGAGTCAATCTTGAGCCTGGTGAGATTTGAACTTGCACTAATTGCAGGCAGCTGATGTTAATAACAGTGCTTTAGTCTGCTGCGCTACCAGGGCTCCTTATTTAAGAATAAGTACATTTTTATGGTAAAGAAAAAATATTTTGATATTAGAGACATAACAATGACATTCAGAGATAGTTGAGGAATTACAGTGAGATTTTAAATCAACAATTTCAGGTTATGCATTTTTATGAAGAGTCTATTTCCAGAAGAGCTGCTACACCAGAAGATGCTGTTATAGAAAATGTTCCGACATGGGAAAAAAATGCGAACAGGAATTTTTCACTGATGTACCAAAAAATAACTGATGAGGCTATAATGAGTAAGATGAAAATAATAACTTCAGTTCACTTTTATGTAAAAGGAAGGAACATAAAATTGGCTCATTTGCTGAGGATCAAAGTGGAATATGTTGTTATTTTAGGGGGATTTTTTTTTAGACTTGCTAGAGCAATATTATTATTGGAAAAATATTGTTATTGGATTTACTTGCAGTTAACATGGTGTTTACAGCTTTTTTTTCCCTACAGTCATTTTATCTATCATAAACTGATAGCATCTAAATTGGCTTAGTATCTAACTGCCTTTGCATCTAAAGTAAGCAATCTTTGTGAGCTTGTTTTCTTTAAAGGAGATATTGCCCTTTGTCATTAAATTTCAGCTTTTTGTTTATACTGGGATACCAGGAGCACTTGATGCCTCCTAAATATGGATTTGCTTACAGTTAAGAGTGAAACTGTTTATACTTGTGATGAGGATGGGAAGATGGTTTCTACTTTTTTTTCTTTTCTCTTTCTATATTTTCTTGCTTTTTTGCTTTCTTGTATTTTTATTCTCTTTCTTTTCCGTTTGTGTTATCTTTTATTATTGTAATTAAAATGTTTAATAAAAGTATTACTTAAAAAAGAAGCTGACTGGTTTTGTTCTGTTTTAACTTGATTGCATATAAGCAATTTTTTATCTGTTCCATGGACAATCTCCAGTTATATCTTTCCTTCTGTATCCGAGCTCTTCCACCTCTTTGTCCTAATAATTTACTCAATTTTATTTCTGTGTACTCCACCTGATAATGCCTTAGTACATAGGCATCATTTTGTTTGTTTGTTTGTTTGAAGGGTGTTACCAATGAAGAAATAAGCTCCATAAACTTAGTTGGTGTATGCTTTCTTCTTTGATGGCACTTTGATTAGTGTATTGTTTTTTCTTTGGTTTTTTAAAAAACAATTTAACAATTTATACTTAAATTCAGGAAGATCCATCATTTGAATTTATTTGTTTGTTTGTTAAATTTATTTGCCACATATCTCACCGTGGGGTTACTCTAAGCAGCTTACAATAATAAAAAGGAAGAAAAATAAAAGGAATGCAAACAGAATAGAAGTAAAATAATAAAACAACAAAATAAATGAGGACAAAGGAACACAGTGAGAATAACCCAAAAGTACTTTTTCAAGAGGCAACTGGACTTTCTTGTTTTTCTTTGAAGATGTTTCACTTCTCATCCAAGAAGCTTCTTTAGCTCTGACTGGATGGTGGGGGATGGAAGGATATATTCCTTGCAGACAGCTGGTCATTTGCATTCTTTTAGAGAGATGTTGAGACCACTTGGAGGTTTATTTATTGGTTCGATTTATATGCCGCCCTTCTCTGGAGACTCAGGGCGGTTTACAATGCGTTAAGCAATAGCCTTCATACTTCTGTATATACCTGCTGAGTAGGGCTTTTGGCCCCCCAAGCGGTGTTCATTTTATACAAAGTCAGCTTATTGCCCCCACAATCCGGGTCCTCATTTTACCTACTTTGGAAGGATGGAAGGCTGAGCCTGGTGAGATTTGAACTTGCAGTAATTGCAGGCAGCTGGCAGCTAAGTGCTACTTAACAGCACTTTAGTCTGCTGCGCCACCAAGGCTCTTCCTGACACACTTATCTGTGTGCTCAGGGTCACCTGAGTAGTGCCAAAGGGGGTGGAGCCTTCTTGGAACCGCTGAAAGGACTGTATTGTGGAGCTGTGTTTTCTGACGGATGTTTGCTTCCCTGTGTCCCTTCATTGTTGAACAGCTGGTGCAGGCTGTTGGATATGAGTCTGTGTTGTCTCCATCTCAAGCTGAAGCCCAAATGATTCCTGTAGTCTGCATTTTTCTAGAAACGTGTTCAGAGTCCCGCACCATTCTAGGGCGTTCATCCCAAAGTGCATAGCTAAATGTCTGTGACAAATGTGAATCACTATTGGAAAGAGAAATGACAAATAGGATTGGGAGGCACAGAATTAGAAATTTGAAATAATGTCACTCCTGATATTAGGAGACATGCTATGTAAAGACATTAAGTAAAATGAAATAGAATTTAAAAAAAAATCCAATGCCAAAGTAACTAAAGAAAAAAAAAAAACAGGGTTCCTTAGCTGGCTGACCTTACCCTTGTTGGCCAATAGACTTAAAAGTGCAGAAACTCGATGCATTCAATCTTGAATTTGGCAGCAGCTTCAACCCACTCAAAAGTATCAAATTTAGAAACATATTTACATTTTGTTAGAATAATTAATAATACACCTCCCTAGGTTTCTTTCTCAAATTTTCACCTTAAATGTTTTCTGTACAATTGCTGTTCTGTTTTAGCAATTTCCTTTATGAAATGTGAAAGTCACATGTACTGTATAAAGCTTGAGTTTTCCAATTCTTTCACAGAAATGAAATTTGTCTCAGAAGAAAACTAAAAGAACATCTTTCAGTTCCTTATGGAGGTCAGTATCAAGGACTTTTTATCTTTTTTAGAAATTGCATGTGAAATGCAGACAATCATGTTTTCTCTTTTCTTTTTAGATTTTAATAACTACTTATGAAAATATCCATGCCCTGCATTTTGTTGCATAGGTTCTCAGAGTGACAGGAATTGACTGATTTGATCTTTGCTCAGAAACCAGGTGAGCTTGGGCCTTATTAGCATTTGGTTGGGAGACTACCACAGGATATCAGGGCTGCACATATCTGAATGAAACAACATTAAACTATTTGCAGATTGTTGTCAAGGGAACTACATGGACACAATCATCAAGTCACAAGGAGTTACAGCAAGTTTTACTTTCACAATAGTAATGGCAGTATATGCTAAAAGCCCACTCCGCCCCAAATCTTGAAGACATAAATTAAACAAGCAACAAAATGAACTCATGAGATGAACATCTTTAAAAAACGGAGAGAAAAAGACTCCAAAGCTCTGTAAAACAATACTTTAATATCATATTGCTGTTATTGTTATTATTTATAAAGAAAGTGTGTCTTCAAAAAGTAAATTACTTTTAATTTAAAAATGAACAAAGTGTTAGGACCTGATGGCATTTCTGCAATATATTACAAGCTCTTTCAATAATTTTGATTAAATCGCTACTCCTGGTAATGAATGAAATTCAACAACAATCAGGGACTTCACATCATGGAAAGAAGCTTTTATTTCTATGATTTACAAGGAAGAAAATGATCCAATTTATCAAAGTGATAGAACTTATTTTCTTATTGAATGTACATCACAAACTTTTTATCACAAACTTGCAAAGAGAACAAGTGATTTTCTAGCTGAATTAATACATCCTGACACAATTTGATTTGTTCCAAAGAGATACGTGAGAGACAATATCGTATACATTGTGAATGTTGTAATAATATGAATTAGAACAAGAGAAATGGACCTTTGTTAATGCAGAGAAAGCTTTTGATTATTTCGAATGGTCTTCCATACTTAAATCTCTGAAGAAGATAATTTTTTACATGAATACAGAGTATTTATAAAGAATAAGAAAGTCTTAATATGTTGATGATTTTTTAATCACAAAAAACTACCCCAATGAAAGGAACAAAAGCTGTATCCTGCCTTGTTCATTATTCATAGTGGCATTGCAAAGAAGATATACCAAGAAATGAATTTTCAGGAATTAAATGCTGCTCAGTAACATAAACTAAAATTATATGCTGTTGATGGGGTACTTACACTTACTAGACTAAAGGACACTTTAGAATTGATGATGTTTACCTATATTATTTTTTTAAAAAAAGAATTGATGATGGAATATATATACCATCATGGTTTGACTTCATGATATGAGATAAATAAAATTCAAATGCTGAGATAGCTTAATTGAAGAAGAAAAGCATCATTTGTACCACATAATCCATTTTAATTTCCCTGCAAAACATGATAAAATATGGCAATTTACATGACAAATATAAGCATGTTTAAAAGTACTGTATATATTTGTAGATAAACCCATCTGCAGATTACTCTCAAATTTTTAACCAATATTCCATGCAAAATGCAACACACACAAATTAACTGACCATCAATGCTTGTAGGTTTGCATTTTTGCAATTGGTTTTTCTATGGATGGAACATATTTTCATGGTATTTTGGTTAAAAAAATGAGGGTTGGCTTATAACTGAGGATAAGTCCATCCTAAAATAACTCAAACCCAATTTATGTGTGTGGGGTGTTGTTGTTTTGGCACCTAAAATTCTTGAATTATCTGCAGGTAAATACAGTAATTATTCACAGGTCTATAAAAATATAATGGCAGATTTTTTTAAGGCCAAATTTTAAGGTTATTGCCTTTTTTGGAAAGAATTTTAGCTGTTGATATGAATATTCTACTGAATCTAAATGTTCAGTTCCAAATTACTTTAACAAAAATTGAAAACAAGCTATTAAACAATAATAGAGACAGGGAGAGCCAGTTTGGTACAGTTTGATACACCAGGTTAGAAAACAGGAAACCTTAAGTTTTAGTCCTCCCTTGATTACAAAACCAGCTAAGCAACTTTGGGACTGTCATTCTCTCTTAGCCTTAGGAGAGGGCTTCCAAAACACAGTGCCAAGAAATATCCAGGGACTTAATCTATAAATTGATAGTGACTCTGAACAAGTTAAAAGTTGTATAATTAAATGAACTTACAATTTAAATACAATGACTGATATGCAAAAATGGGAATTTTAGTCAGAAAAATATGAAATTCACACCCAATATCATAAAGAAAACTGGTATAAGATGTCTTATCGCAGGTATGTTGACTGCTAAAATGATTAGTTCATTCTCTAAACATGGTTGAAATGTAATGCTCAGATTGTGTTATTTTTCCATATTTGATAGCAATATGGTAAAGTTTTTAAATGTTGGAAAATAATTTATATTGAATGAAACCATTTTAAAAGCTGAGTTTCCTTCCAACTTATTTTTGATTGAATATATTATTGCTAAACCTTGCCTTCCCACAAAATATATTGAGTAAGCTTATGTATGATAATTGCTGCAAGGACACTCTACCCTTCCAACTTGAAAGTGTTCACAGTTCATTCTAAAGAAAAATAGCTAATTAAGCTTTTGGAGTATGCCTTGATACCCAATATAATATGTCAAAAGTAACTCTGACACAGAATTAAGTTCAACTGGGAAACCAGTTTCAGATTAAAACTCAATATACGGGATTTTATCATATCTGATGTGACATTCAGATATCACATCATATCTGAAATATGGGTTTATCCTAACATAATCTTCAATTGCTGAGATATGCATCTGTTATTTAGATATTAAGAATGGATTATAGTTTTTAACATGATATAGTACCGTGATGGCGAACCTATGGCACGTGTGCCACAGGTGGCCCGCAGAGCCATATCTGTGGGCACGTGAGTGTTGCCCTAGCTCAGCTCCAGCACATATGCGTGCACCAGCCACCTGATTTTCGGCCCTTCCGGGCCCAACAGAAGCCAGGAAACAGGCTGTTTCCAGCCTCCTGAAAGCCTTCGGGGGGGTGGGGAAGGCAGTTTTCATCCTCCCCAGACTCCTAAAAAGCCTCTGGATCCTGGGGAGGGCGAAAAATGGGCCTACCAAGCCCACTGTGCCAAAAGCATGGGAGCGTGGGGGCGTCACACACATATGTGTGTGGGGGGGGCAGGATGCATTGAATTATGGGTGTGGGCACGCACGCACGCAAACCCCTTGAGCTCCCCCCACTTTTGGCACGTCATGGCAAAAAGGTTAGCCATCACTGATATAGTATATTCAGTTACTTAAAATTAATCAGTAAAATACTGAAAATGTTAACTGATTTAATGTTTGTAAACCCTCTGTTTTACGTTGTGCTTTTTCATCCTTTCCCCCTTTTTTCTTTTTCTATGTCTGTGTGTTTTATTTTTTCCTTAAAATACTTAATAAAAATATAATTTAAAAGGTAAACTACTTGATGACCTACTTTTAAAAATCCAGAAATAAGTACCGTGATCCTAAGGAATTGCAAAGGATTGGAGGAGAATTACATAATGCAGAGGCTGAAGCAAGAATGAGAAAGAAACCCAAAATAATCCTGCCTTGAGTTTGTTAGTAGAATAGAGGACAGAAGGAAATTTGGTTTTCAGTTTCTGTCAGTTAAGTAGCATTCTTGGATTCCTTGTGGTAACTATTTCTTGATTTGCCTCAAAGGTCTAACAGGAATTTACTGTCTCCCTCTACTTTATCCCAAAAACTGGAGTAAAGAAATTTAACTGAGTAGCAGCAAACTAAGGATGTCTTCTATTATGTATACTGCGGCTTACTTATATCAGGAAATGTGCTGCAGAATAAACTATCCAGACAAATTTGGTTTGGGTTGCAATATATCCTTCCAGACAACCACCATGAAAAGAAGTGTTCGTAATTCTGAAAATTACTGTAATATGTACTGTAATCTTTTCGCTGAAATGAGTTTTAACTATGAAGTCTAAATTTGCTTTAGTGAGTAGTTTATGCTATCTAGTGACAAGAAAAAAACATGATGAAAATTTGATGAAGATATGGATAGTCCTTATGATCAAAATTGGGCTGAAATTTCTGTGCACTTGTTGCATAAATTGAGTTGGACTTGATTTTATAACATTTTTATGGCACTCATCAAGGAAATCATAGCATTTGCTGTTAAGCAAATCCAGCTTTCCCAATGGTGAGGTTTTTTTGGGGGGGGTCAGAAATCAGCAAAAAAAGGTTGCTGATAGTCATAATAAAAAGACTATAGGACACTGCAGTCAGCTTAAAATGTGAGCTGGTTGCCAAGTACCCAAATTGCAATCATGTGACCATGGAGATGGTGCAATGGTTCTAAGTGCAAATAAAAGTTATAGGTCACTTTTTCCAAGGCTGTTGTAATTGTGAACCATCATTAAATGAAGAGTTGTAAGCTAATAACCAGCTGCAATGACTGATTTCGACAATACATGTTTCACTAAGCACGTACTGTATATGCACTTTGAATGTATCTATCTAGGTTTGGGAGCAATTTGAAAGTTCGAGCCATTCTTACATATTTTCTATATGGAATGGCGACAGCTCATTTGGTAAAGCATATTATTTGTATGCAAAGTGACCAGAATTCAGTTCAAGAAAGACTGCTATGGAAAACCTGGAAAAATCAATGTAATATTAAGCTTCTTGGACCAATGGTTTGTTTAATTCAAAGCAATTTATTAAGTTCCATCATATAAATGAATATTTCATAGAATATTTCAAACAAACAAACAAACAAACAAACAAATAAATAAATGTCAATATGATGATCTGACTGTAAACTTAGTCAGTGTTTAGGAATGCTCCATAGGAGTAAGCTATCCTACTCTATATTTTATGTGATGATTAATCAAGAAAACATTGATGTTGGTACTATTGCATTTTTAACATATGAAAACCAAGACATTAAATTGCTACTGTGCGGCTTCTTGATGATGTCTTTGAAAAATTTTAGATGTTAACACTCTGAAGATATCCCATTGAATCTAATGTATGCCTTATACATTGATTTGCCCTTGAAAAATGGTTAGGAACTCCAGTGGTTGAAAACAATGGCTTAATTCCTGACTGGGAGCATGCATACAAAATACATCTCATCAACTTTAAACAGTCTTGTAGATCATTAATTAATTAATTAAAAGCAAGTTGGATTAATACCTTCCTTTGTAGTTTATATAATGATTGTGAACTAGACAAAGATGTTGTCCTTTGATTCTGAAATGTCTCTTAATGCAGCTAGTTGTTATTGATAAGTACCTTCACTAAGCACTTTTGCTGGTAAAAACACATCAGATTTCACATGCTGTAGAAATGCAGCTGCTAGAACCTTTCTTTGTGCCTCTGTGAAATTCTTTTAAGAATTTTTTTTCTTATTTATAATGTGATGTTATAATTAATAGTGTCAATTGTTGTTTTATCCTATGTTTGTGCTGCACTTAATAACAAGCTCACAACAAATAAAATTACTACTGCTATTAATACTTTTTCTTCAAGAAGAAATGGAGTCTTATGCATTCAGATGTTTAAATCTATCCTTATATTATAAGCCCAAAAGTGTGAGGGTTAAATGCCCAGATGACAAGTTGCATATTTCAAAGCATCTTAACCATATGTTTGAGTTTGAACAACTGAAATTCATCCAACTATAGCTGATAAAATGACATTTGGGACATATTTACCGATCATATTTTAGGTAAACTGACATCAAAATTACTTGAGCTGGGAGTAATTTTATTCAACTATGTCACACTTTGGGCTTCTAAGGGCTCCTGTTCATCACCCTGGGAGCTTAGATAAGTAAATATTTACACATTTTAAAATTTTAAGGGGATATTTTTGTTTTCTCTGTGGTTCAGAGGAAAATGAACTACTGAAAAAGTTATCACTGGAAAATCTCCACTGGATGATATTAAGAATTTTCACTTACGTTCATTTAGATTTGTTTTAGATGTATTCACCATCAGCTTTCCATCTATCATCTCATATATTTATTTTGTCTCAGTTTTTTTTTATCTAAATCAAGGAATGCCAAACAGGTTCTAGCCAATGCAAGAAGGCACTTGGAGGTAATTGTGCCAACTGCACAGCTTATGATATGATACAATTTCATTTAAGAAATGTGTCTTCAGAAGATTCAACAGAGATCAGCTCTATTGGATTTAAAGCATAGTAAGAAAAGTTTTCTGTTAACATAAGGAAATGAAACATGACATATCGCGACTTCTTTCCCCTTCACTAAAATGGGAGAGGGAGTGACCAGCACGTGGCACATTTGGCCTGCAGGCCATGAGTTTGACATCCCTGCCATAATGTACGAATGATAATGCAAAGAAAACACTTATTTTTATGGTTAGACTTGGGTATTTTCTTTCTTAGACTTATTTTGAAATATTTATTTCCTTGCTTGTTTGCTTGTTTGTTTGAATTTATATGGCTATCCATTCACTTAGGCTTATAAAAATAAAAACTCAATACACAATAAAAACAATAACCTCCACCCCCTCAGCAACAACAATCAATCAATCAGTCAGTCAGTCAGACATACGATCATTATATTTCATACAAGGGCTAGATATCATATCAAATCAAAGTTTCCTCCGACCTGAAATGCATCAGAGATATAACCAACTGGCCATGGGCAACAAAGAATAAAGAGCTGTGCATTGTCTTTCTTATCATTATAAAATTAATGTATATCTGTTAATAGGCTAAAACATCACTCAGATGCTAAGCAACCAGCAGGGCAGTCTTGAGCTGAGCCTGTTTATTGTGAGCCATGCATGCTCTTGGCTCATTATGTGGTATCTGACATTGATTATCTTTCAGGCAACTACTTCAGCTCATGGCAGCCATAATTTTCAGTCAGCATGTGGTAAATTCTGGCCTCATTGCCACAGAACCATTTATGTTTATATATCTTGGAGGGGAGCTGTAGCTCAGATGTGCAGCACGTGCTTTGCATGAAAACAGCTCTGCAATTTCAGAAAGACAAAAAATAACTCTGCTTTAGAGCCCAGAGAGATACTACCAGTAAGAATAGTTAAACCTACAGCTCCAAGGTTACATAAAACTCCCCAGCTCATTTTTAATGGTAAATTCTCATGGTGCAGGAAAATAGGAAATCTTAGCCCCATCAATATGCATGATATAATTCCACCTATTTTGGATTCTGGCTTTAGTCACAGCAGTCCTTATCCTCCTTTCTAATAATTTAAGGCGCTCATTCTGAATACAGTATTTTATGCACCCTTGAGCTAGATGGATAAATCGTCTGAAATAATAAAACAGTTACATATATTTGACATAAAAAGAAAATCTAAGCAACACTCTCAAAATACAAGATAAAGCAAATACTTAGGATTACAAGAAATTGCCTTATATCATTTCAACTGGTTTAGGTGGCCTATGATCCTTCATATAAAAACCTTTCTCCTGCATGGATATCTTGAGGAAGAGGGCTTGTTGAGATGATAAATTAAATTTAATAAAGTTGTAGTACTGACGAGAATGCTGGCAAGGTCTGTATGTTCTGCTAAGAAATGAATGTTCTTGAATTAAGGAAAAGACGTTTTTTCTGTCTCAATACATATTGCTTCAGGAAATGAAGATTCCTCTCTTAATGAAATGAATGTCTTTTTCTAGACATTACCAAAGAGAATGTTATAGTGGAAAAAGTCTCCTGGCAATTATCTATAGCTTTCCACAAGAATATATCTTGCCTTCCATGTTGTTTAACATCTATGTAGAGGTGATGGGATTTGAAGATTTGAAGCTAGCTGTTAATTGTATCTTTCCTTTTCTCTGGGAGAAAAGTGGATTAATTTTTGGTCCTCTCTATAGTATAATTATATGGGGCAGACTTGGCAGAAAGTGAGAGGCCCAAAATCACTCAGTGGGCTCTGTGGTTCAGTGGAAGCTTGAAGTTAGTTCTTCAGTTGAAATCTAAGATGGACAAATTAGCACTGTAGCAGGGGTGAAATGCTCCTGGTTTGGACTGGATCGCCTGATCCAGTAGCGATGAAGGCGGTTCGGAGAACCGGTAGCAAAAAGCCCTGCCCCACCCCCATGCCCAGGTGAGCCGCACAATCATCAGAGGCTTTTTTTTTTAGTTTTTGAAAGCATTTTTTCTACAACCTGTTCAGAGGTTGAAGAAAAAATGCTTTTAAGAGCCTCTGACGATCCAAGCTGAGTTGCCTGATCGGCAGAGCTTTTAAAAGAAAAAAAGCCTCTGCCGATCAGGCAACTCAGCTGGGATCGTCAGAGGCTTTTGAAAGCATTTTTTTACAACCTCTTCGCTGAAGAGGTAGTAGAAAAAATGGTTTAAAAAGTTTTTTTAAAATTGGACATGCCCATCCAGTCACATTACCCCCCCACTAAGCCATGCCCACAGAACCGGTAGTAACAAATTTTAGATTTCACCACTGCACTGTAGTAACCTGCAAGGATTTCTGATTCTAGTGTACAAAATAGGCATTTGAGATATGATACTTTGAGACTGATCTTTTATGCTTTGAGTGAGAACTTTGGATTGATTTGTAGAATGGTCCATTTGATTGTTTTCTTGGCTATTCATATTATTGCAAATCTTCTCAACATGGAAGTTCAAAACATCAATATTATTTCTATCCTTCTTCATATAACAATAGGAGAAAAAAAAAGCTTTTCAGAAATGAACAATTTCTATCATCACATTCAAGACCATCTTACTGAATTTTTAATGCACAGTTTATAACTTTCTGTTTGTTGGTTGGTACAAAGATTAAAGGTGGGAATCCCAGCATCTGGTTTTCCAGAGACCTTATGTTCCTACTTTGCAAATGCCATAAAAAGATTTAAAAAGTGGGGCATGCCGGAAGATCTCAAATTCAAGTTGCACCTCTACTAACTACTACTCTTCCCTTAAATCAAACATGCAATATTTTGCATCTTGGACTTTGAATATCATGCTGGAATATTAATACTCTAAGAAACAAACATGCACCAGAAAAATAAGACAGGCAGGACACAGATAAGATCTGCATTAAATCAATTAAGAGCAGCTAATACGATTACTTCCAGTTTATTTAATAATATTACCCTTCTGTTTTCTGAGATCCTAAATCACCAACACACAATTGATTCTCCCCATGCTTAATGCCATTATATCCCTTCATCCCCTGTGACCTTTGGTTACAAAACATTTTTTAAAAATGTACATCTGTACCATGTTAACTTCAAGGCCCGAATTTATTTTTTCTGTTCTACATCATATGCACTTTTCATAATGTATCAGTGATTATTAATATATTATGAAAGAAAACTAGTTAATTTTATTTACAGCGGCTCCTTTTTTAAATGAAGCCTAAACTTAGAAAAGTCAACATTAAAAATGAGATGAGTTTTGTTTGATAAATGTTTGGCTTTAGAAATTCTGTGTTGTAAACATGGAAACTCCATGTTGTAAGCAATTAGGAATCTTCTGCTGCCATAATACTATATTTTTTAAATAGTGGTCCCTGGGTCAAAAATCCAAAATATACTGCAACCTATTAATTATTAAAAATTGACCCTCCACATGGACTGAAATTTTGCCCTATAATGTACTTTTTCTAATTCCTGCAAGCAGGTAAATAAATGGTTGGAATATGACTGAAAAACTCTCTAAAGATCTGTGGAATCTACTTAAAATCTGGAAACAGCTAAGAAAAAAGCTGATAGTATATCACTTCCTGTGGTCTCAGTGCCCACTTCTGTTTTCCCACAGGATGGGACTCAGAATATGTGCATAGTAGCAACCCAATCTTTGCTGTTGCAATTGAATATTCTGCTGGCAAAATGATATATTGTCCTGTTTCTTGTCATTACCTTGTATATTTTGCATGGACAGAGAGATGAGCATTTTGAGGATGGTGATTGATGAATAGCCAAAGACATATTGTTTGGAGCCATGGAGATGACTATGGAGAAACTATTCAGAAGACAACAGATGCAGAAGCATAAGTTGAGCCCTGAGAAGAATGAAAATATTATAAAGATGTTCAAACTAGCTCTCCCCTGACTCTTTGGGGTCTAAGGAGGAGGAATGGAAAATACAGGCAGACTTGAAAGATTTTGTAAATTTCAGTATAGTAGTCTTCCCTTGTTGCTTGTATCTTTACGATTTATATTGTTTTATTTAGTTTCCTAGTTTAGTTTGATTGCTTTTTTAGTATCCTACGACTATCAATACGTTCTTGATGAATGTATTTTTTTTATCTACACTGAGAGTATATGCACCAAAGACAAATTCCTTGTATGTCCAATCACACTTGGCCAATAAAGAATTCTATTCTATTCTATTCTATTCTATTCTATTCTATTCTATTCTATTGAATTTCTTTTCAGATCTGTTCTACCTCAGAGAGCTGACAGGTATCTATTCTCCTTTTCCTTCTATTCTTGATGTCAGTATGCTCCAGATATAGAAATTCATCAACAATCCAGACTTATGTCATTATCAAAAAACATATTTCAATTTCCCTAAGACTGGGGCAAAGGCCATATATTTTATACATTATGACCATAGCAATTTAAGGAAAAGGAATTGAGTATTTGATGATACAAAAACCAGCAGGACAGGACTATGTAACTCATGGCCTGGGGATGACTGACACAA